AAGTGCAGCTGGAGAGGTGGATAAGGGGAGATGCAAGCTTTCAACCACATAGAGATCTCCAATTCTACGGCCGGTCCCAATCTGCTTCTTGGACACCCGATCCTGTACACAACAGACAGAAGAGGAAAAGATAACATCAAAACCAGACGCATCAAGTTGACTGATAGATAACAAACTGACAGATAACTGAGGAACATAAAAAACAGAAGGAATAGTAACAACAGACATGGCAGAGGGTAAGACAGACCCAACAGATAAAACAGACATACTAGATCCATTAGCAGTATTAATAGTAATAGGAACGAGTGGGGGAATACAATTTTGAAGTAAGGAAAGGTGAGGAGTCATATGATGAGGGGCACCAGAATAAAAAATCCAGGCAGAAGGAATACCTGAAGAGGACCCAAGCAAACCTGAATGAAGAGAGGTAAGAGCGGAGGCAGATGGGGATGATTGAGAGGTGGACAAAATATGCTGAAGTTGTGCAACCTGAGCACTCAGGGAAGCCAAGTCAGGATCGGGAGCCGAAGTAGATGCAGTGTAAGCAGCAGGAGGTCAGAAAGTACTCGAAGTAGGACCGCGGAACTGTGTCTGAGAAGACGGAGCAGGCTGACGTCCCTTTTTGGGACAATTGTTCTTCCAATGACCCCTCTGATGGCAGAAAGCACACTCATCTGGCCCTAATGGTCCTCTCTTGGGTTTCGCAGTGGCTTGAAGTTGATGAGAAGGAGGGGTCGATAACAAGGGTGGCTTGGCAGGAGCCAAGAACATAGAAGGAGGCAAAGTCTGACTGGCCGTCTTAAGACGGGTTTCCTCGGAGAGGAGTTCACGAACAATAGCATCCACAGAGGGAAGAGGAGATCGGTGAAGGATGCCACCTCGAATAGCCTCATACTGAGGGGAGAGAGCTGTTAAGAACTGGACTAAACGACCTTGTTTCCGAAACTCAATATAAGCGTCTAGTATCTTGAGACTAGGTGGTTCCATAAGAGCCAACTGATCCCAGAGACCTGTCATCTCAATATAAAAGTCCTGAATAGTTTGATCCCGCTGACGAGCACTCTGAATAGTTGTTTCCAACTCATACCGCTTGGCAAAGTTGGACTGCTGATAAACACCGAGTAAATAATCCCACACTTCCTTGGCAGTACTGTACTTGGAAAACATCATTCCAATACGGTCATCCACAGAGTTATGAAACCAGGTAAGAACCTGGGCATTATCACAATCCCAAGTGTCACAGGAAGATAGATACCCTTCTACCTTCGGGTCCGATGGACGAGGAGCAGAACCAAAAACACAGCCCCATTTTTTTTGACCAAGAAGAAATTCTTCATAACACTGGCCCAATAGGCATAATTGCCACCAATGAGTTTACCTTTAATGGCTTGAATTTTAGGGTCCATTATAAAGCAAAGTTGTAGAATAAACAGACAAATATGGGGCTTGAGTGCAATATTCCTGAAAAAGGGTCTTAAATAGAAATAGCCAAGTTGAAGCATAGAGATCACAGAGATCGCGAAGCGCAGAGAGAGAGAGAGAGACTGAAGCTGAGATCGATCTTCAGACGGAGCTCGCGAAGATCTCAGACAGAGATCGCGAAGCACAGAGGCAGACGAACCAAATTAACCAAAGAGCCAAAGTAGATGGCTGCGAATCGATTCAGATAGAGATCGCGAGGAAGAGAGAGGCCTTCGCGAGACGAACCAGAGAGGGCTAGGGTTTCGAACCCTCGCGAGTCTGGAGAGAGAAAAGTCGTGACTCCGATGGTGACAAACCAGTCGAACCAGAGAGGGCTAGGGTTTTGAACCTAGCTCTGATACCATGTAAGTTTTCTAAACAAAGCTGTATATTAGATTGAATTCCATTGAACAAAGAATACATACATCATTTATATAGAGTACCACTAATTCCTAATCCTACATGAATACATTACTGAGATATATAGAAGTCTAATAGATATAGGACACTTATTCCTAATCCTAGGAGAACACATATTCCTAATCCTAGGAGAACACATATTCTCACAGAAATATCAAGTATAGCATCAACCAATTTCTTTCTTGCATGCAGTGGTTTTATTTTCTCTTCTTCTATTTTCTCTTTGTTGCTGGGCTCAATTAGATCTCCTTCTTCCTTAATATTTTTATGATTTGTTTGTAAAACTTTCTCCCCAATATTCAAATTACCATGTGTTGATGCATTATCAACACTCGAACAAGACTTCGCATCTTCTTCATTAGTTTTACAAACAATCTCACCACAAATAATATTTGGATGCGAATTCTTTTCTTTTGCAACTACAATTTCATTGCAAATTTTTACCAACTCCATGGAAATATCTTGATTTTTATATTACTTATATCTTCATGATCATGAAAGTAAAATTTTGTTGCTAAAAACTTTTTCATAATTAACAGTGAATGAATTTTTTCTTTACCTTTGCAAACTCGATAATCTTGTAATCCATTCCACCATTTCAATGCAATTTTATCAAGTTTGTAGGATGCAAATATAACCTTCTTTTTATGAGGAATCTTCATGAATTCAAAGAAATTTTCAAGATCAAGCAACCAATCAAAAAAATATTCTTTTTGAAACTTACTTGAACCGTTAAAATATGAAATTTTTGCAAAATAACGTAAGCTAACAGGTTGGTCTTGGTTGAATCCTTTGGCACAATTGTTGTTAACTATTGGTTGCCTCTGGTTGACGATTAGTCCCAAATCAGCAAGTAGATTACAAGTCTCATTGCGAAGTTCATGCACCTCTAGCCGATGTTTCTCAATCGCATCCCATATGGCTTCCACCCTACAATCAATGTCAATAGGGATTGTGTGTGCTCCATTGTCTTGTGTCATTGAGCTAGGGGAATCCATGCTCTGATACCACTTGACGCAACGGAATAAATCACACGAGACTAGGGCCAAGTTTGGCATTCTTAAAAAAATCCAAAAAGTCAAAAAGTCACTATCCTATTTGAGTCAGATCATCTTATTTAAGTCACATCACCTCTCTATCACATCACTTCAAACCCAACCCATATCCATCCCATATTTCATAAAAAATAAAAAAGTACACTTATTTAGACACCCCAAACAACCCCTAGATATCGTTCTAGTAGACGAGAATTCTTGAATCCACAAAGAAGATAGCAAAAAAACTCTTTAAAATATTATTGATTGAATTAATTCCAATACATATGCTTGTAGGCTTATTTATAAACCTAGTACTTGTAGGAAAAGTAATTCTAAAATAAATTAGGAAACTTAAATCAACACAAATTAGGAAACCTAAGAGAATCGGAAACTAAAATTCTAAACTATTTAAACTCCTAGTCAAAATCTAATTCAAAAATAATAAAATTAAGAAATAATATATCAAAAATATTAAAACTAAAAATATAAAAATCTTAAAATCTTGTCCTATATCATATTGATAATAGGACAAAGCAAGACAACGACAACTTGGGCACTACATAAACAAAACAACGAAGCAATACACCATCATAGGCTGTCGACTTGGTCTGTCGAGGCTATCAAAGGCTAGGGCGGACGACGAGGGCTGTCGGAGGACATGGCAAGGCTAGGATAGCCAGCAAGAAGGAGCAACGAGGCCAGGAGGCCTGTCAGAGGAGACCAGCAAGGCTGGGCAGCCTGCGATGGTGAGCGACGAGGCTAGGGCTGCCTCCAGCTGTAGTCAACAGCGACCAACTGGGCCAAGAAGCCCTTCGGCAATAGCCGACTGGGCTAGGGAAAGGAGTTGCACCTAGCTTGGATAGGTAGCTGTGTGGTGGGGTTGGGGTGGTTGACCGGTGTGATGGATGGATTTAGGGTTGTGACTCTGATACCATGATAAATTTAGAGAATACAAAATTAGGATATGGTTATGGTATCATCCTCTTTTTATATTAATGAAGATTAATAATTATAAGGGAGCCCTAAGTCATAAAATAATTACAATTTAATAATAACCCAAATAATGATATGCTATTCTAACATGTTTGACCCTTGTAACAAGTTAAACCTAATTTAAAAATAAATAAATAAACATAATTAAACCCCGATTTTTGTAAAGTGGTATCAATACAAACCATCCATCCACATTCATTAACTAAGACTTGTAAAAGCTGATAATTTTGTCAATTTAATCACCTCCTTCGTGATATTTTTGAACTTATATAAAAATAGGAGTGAGCTCAACTTTACCAAATGAATCCATACCTCTCTCATATTTTCTACCAATCTCTCCTATTTTCCCCCAAATCAAACACATTGTCTATGTTTTTTCAATTAGAATGCAATAGTGCGAAACAAGAAGAATAGAGAAGGGAGTGGTGGGGGAAGGGATGGTTTGGTTGTAGAGCAATATCTAGTGTTCAATCGTCACCAACAATGAAGCTGGTATGTGTCTGGCCATAGTTTTGTTTTGCAGTTTGGGGGATACGGTGGCTGCAAAGGTCAGTTGGAGGTAAAGGATGCTGGTAGAGGTGGATTTGGTGGAGTGGTGTTGCAGGTGGGGAGTGTGGTGGGGCTGGGGTTTGTAAAGGGTGGAGGTAGAATTGAGTATTGCAGTGGTGATGAGGGCGCGGTGAAGAAACAGGTTGAGTGGTAGTGGAGGTGAAGGGAGTTGAGAGAAACATAGAGGATAAAAGAGAGAGAGGGTGGGAAATGAGAGATAGGGGTCAAGTGGAGAGAGAAGGGTAATGGTAATTTTGAAATGAAAGAAGAGTGAGAGAGAATTAAAGAAAAAAACCAATGATATAGTACCACATGTAACATATGATTTTAGCAATTTAATGGAGATGGATGGATGGTTTGGATTGTGTTCAATTTAAAAATTCAAGGTTTATATCGAAAAAAAATTGAAAAGGTTTAATTTCTTGTAAGGGTCAAAACCTTATCATTATTATTCTGTTTTTTGTAATTCCCTGCAACATTTATATTTGTAACATTTATATTATAAATTAATGCTTTATCCTCAACATATTTTTGATGCAGAAACCCATTAGGGGAGGTGTTGTTGGGCACACACTAATGGTTGAAGAGTTAGGACGTCGAAAACTCAGTCGCGGTGTAAGACCCTTAAATTTATATATATATATATATATATATTTCCTTTTTCTATAACTTTAAAAGTATTTTCTTTGTACTATCATATGGATTTTTAGTTCTTTAAGTGTTAGCTGTATTGGTTTTATTGCCAGTTCTAAAGTTGATCCTGCCTTTTGGGGAGTCGCATTTTGTTCTTAGCACTTTGAATAGCATATGACTGTTAACCTTGATCGTCAATTGTTTTGTGATATTTCCTAGGATTATTATGTTCTACGGTTTTACAATCGGTTGGATGAGACAAAGAAGGGAGAAGTAAGTGTACTTTTTTTTATTTAATTTAAGTTTCATGCAAATTGTTGCTAGAATTTGATATTAACTCTTTTTTTTTTCTTTTTTTTAAATTTTTTTCCCCTTTCCCTCACAATGTTTTCTAGTATTATATATTGCAATTTGTAGAAACTTTGTTGCAAAGATTTTTGTTATTGACCTTACACCATGAAGTAATAAATTGCAAGGCTTGGCATCATATTGTTCATAACTTCATCTTATATTTTTGAACTACTTTTAATATTTGATGATTGGTAGCGCACGTCGAAGCTATGTATTGGCAAATTGTAATAACATTGGTGGCTTTAATCACCTTATATGTGTGAGTTAAGTGCGTGCTGTGCAGACTCGACCTTATGCTACCATATTTAATCACTTTTGAATTTGAAATTCAAATTTGATTGTTTTATGGAGCTGTTGGAGCCTGGTTGCATGTTGTTGGCCCTCTCTCTGTTCACTCCACACACACGCTGCTAGACTCTGGAGTTTGTTTTTTGTTTTGCCTAAGGAAGCTGCTTGTGACACGTGGCCTTGCTGATGGCCTCTTTGGTTGACCAGGAGCTTCATGTAGCCTAACAGAAGCCATGCCTTGTTATTATAGATGTCTTTCTCTTGGAGTGCTTCTTATTTGCCTAGATGGTTAACTGGTCATAAACATTTATCTTTAGTTTTGGGCAAGGGTATTATATTTTGTGGTCTTTTGTTTGCTTACATCTTGATGTTGAAAGTAGGTTGTACACTTCTGGGTCTAGGTGTTTCATTCTTGGCGTGAGGCAAATTCGGTCTGTTGTTGGTGCTTGGCAAATGAACTTGCCTTGCCACACGTCCTTTCCCCCCTCCCTTGATAATTGACACTAGGATGGCTTTGACTTGCTCACGGGTTGTCTGTGCTTGCCTAGTGGAAATGCTTTGCAGAAACTATGTCCCTTGAAAGATGCTTGTTGCCTTCATTATTTACACTCGCGCTAAACGGTGCTTGCTCGGCTGCTCTAGATGTTTTTACACGTTCATTGGGCTTCTTAGTCCTTCAAAGGTGTGATTCGTTTAGGGGGGCAAGTGCATAGTGTACGTGATGGTGTGTGAGTTGTGATTGGTTTGTGCGAGTTGGATGATTTCTTGTTTGTGCAGCGAACTCTACTGGTGCATTCCTCCTTATTCGTGCTTCAAGAGTAAATTTTGCCTTGTGTTTCATGTGGGTTCCTGTGTTGCCTACGTAATGAAAAGGAATTTGCTTGTGCTTATTAGTCTTTCGCCACCTCATGGTGCTGGTTGAACCCCAAATTATCCATTGTGTTCCATTCAGTCCTCATGTTACTGTGTAAGGAGCATGGTCGACAGATAGTTATACTCGGGAGATACTTGCCTTGCCTTGCCGGTTGTTGGTGCTTAGCTAATGGAGTTGCTTTGCTGCCCGTCCCTTCTCCCATCCCTCGATAATTGCCACTAGGTTGGCTTTGATTTGCCTACGGGTTGTCCATGCTTGCTTAGTGGAAGCGCTTTGCAAAAAAAATGTCCCTCGAAAGATGCTTGTTGCCTTCGTTATTTACACTCGTGCTAAACGGTGCTTGCTTGGCTTCTCTAGATGTTTTCACGTTTTCATTGGGCTTCTTAACCTTTTGAGGTGTAATTCGTTTTGAGGGGGCTGGTGCATAGTGTACGTGATGGCATTTGAGTTGTGATTGTGTTAATGTAAATGTAAATTTACCTACACCTACCACCACCTACTACCGCACCTACTACACCTACCACCAATTTACCCTCACCTACTCCTCACCTACTACCCAAATCCTCTTCTATATAATAGGAATCCTTGTAATATCAATACATCAATCAATAATATACATCAATTTTTCTTACGTGGTATCAGAGCAGAGATAAGATTTAGACCTATATTTCTCTCACCGGCGGGCAGTCGGTCGGCAACCTTGCCTTCACTGCCCGCTGGAGATTGGTACACATACCTTCACTCCGCTGCCACAAAGTCTTCTCTTCCTCCGCTTTTCTTTCCTCTCTCAAAAATTCCCCATCATCACTGACGTTCCGACTCTACCATTTTCAAACCTTCATCCTCAACTTCGACAGAACTAGCATCGCCACCACCGTCACCTCCACTCCCCCCGTCGTCCGTTCAATGGCTCCCAGGCTACCGAACCAGTTCCGCAGCCACTCTCCAACTCTGCGTCGGACGCCGTTGCCTCATCTTCCAGCTCCTTCACTCCAAGACTCCACCCACCTTCGCCGAGATCTGCAGTTCGGAGACATTGTGGGTCCGTTCGGCGACACGACGATGACGAACGTGTTCGTCGGAGGATTGGCTTGGGAGACTCCCAAGGAAGCCCTCAGAGACCACTTCGATGTCTACGGCGAGTTCTTGGACGCCGTCATCATCTCCGACAAGATCACCGGCCGATCCAAGGGCTACGGCTTCGTGACGTTAAAGGAAGCCGAGGCGGCTAAGAAGGCTTGCGAGGAGGCCACGCCGATCATCAACGGCCGCCGATCCAACTGCAATACTGGCTTCGCTCGGAGCCCGACGCCCCCGGTCCGCCTTGTCCTACATGGTGCCCAACTTTGGAAATAAACTATCACAGAACCTAACAATGAGTGAAGATGAGTAATAATTGAAGTACCAGTACATTTTTATGTTTTTATAAATATTTGCAAAGGATTGGTTTGTGCGAGTTGGATGATTCCCTGCTTGTGCAGTGAACTCCTCTGATGCATTCCTCTTTATTCATGTTTCAAGAGTAAATTTTGCCTTGTACTTCACGTGGGTTCCTGTGTTGCCTACCTAATGAAAATTAATTTGCTCGTAATCGTGTGCCTATTCGTCTCTCAACACCTCGCGGTATTGGGTGAACCCCAAATTATCTCCTTTGTTCCATGTTGTCGTCACATTGCTGTGTAGGGAGCGTGGTCGGCGGATAGTTATACTTGTGAGATACTTGCCTTGCCTTTCCTTGCCTTGTCCATGGGTTGTTGGTGCTTGGCTGATGGAGTTGCCTTGTTGCACGTCCCTTCCTCCTTCCCCGATAATTGTCATTGGGTTGGTTTTGACTTACCTATAGGTTGTCTGGCTTGCCTAGTGGAAGCGCTTTACAAAAAATGTCCCTCGAAAGATGCTTGTTGCCTTTGTTATTTACACTCACGCTAAACGGTGCTTGCTTGGCTTCTCTAGATGTTTTTACATGTTCGTTGGGCTTCCTAGTCCTTCAAGGTGTGATTCGTTTCCCGGGGGGGAGGGGGGGCTGGTGCATAGTGTACGTGACGGCGTGTGAGTTTTGATTGGTTTGTGCGAGTTGGATGATTCCCTGCTCGTGCAGTGAACTCCTCTGGTGCATTCCTCTTCATTTGTCCTTCAAGAGTAAATTTTGCTTTGTACTGAACGTGGGTTCTTGTGTTGCTTGCCTAATGAAAAGGAATTTGCTCGTAATCGTGTGCCTATTCATCTCTCAACACCTTGTGGTGCTAGGTGAACCCCAAATTATCTCCCGTGTTCCATTCTGTCCTCTCGTTGTTGTGTACGGAGTGTAGTCGACTGGTAGTTATACTTATGAGATACTTGCCTTGCCTATGGGTTGCTGGTGCTTGGCTGATGGAGTTGCCTTGTCGCATGCCCCTCCCCCCTTCTTCGATAATTGCCAATAGGTTGGCTTTGGCTTGCCAATGGATTGTTCATGCTTGCCTAGTGGAAGCGCTTTGCAAAAAATATATCCCTTGAAAATGCTTGTTGCCTTCGTTATTTACACTCACCCTAAATGGTGCTTGCTTGGCTTCTCTTGATGTTTTTATACGTTCGTTCGTTGGGCTTCTTAGTCCTATGAGGTGATTCGTTTCGGGGGGCTGGTGCATATTGTACGTCATGTGTGTGAGTTGTGATTGGTTTGTGTGAGTGGGATAATCCCCTGCTTGTGCAACAAACTCCTCTGGGGCATTCCTCTTCATTTGTGCTTCAAGAGCAAAATTTTCCTTGTGCTTTGCGTGGGTTCTTGTATTGCCTACCTAATGAAAAGGAATTTGCTCTTAATCGTGTGCCTATTCGTCGTTCTCCACCTCGTGGTGCTAGGTGAACACTAGAGTATATACTGTGTTCCATGCTATCCTCATGTTGCGGTGTAGAGAGCGTGGTCCACGGGCAGTTGTACTCAGGAGCTACTTGCCTTGCCCTTGGGTTGTTGGTGCTTGGCTAACGGAGTTGCCTTGCTGCACGTCCCTTCCCCCATCCCTCAATAATTGCCACTAGGTTGGCTTTGACTTGCCTATGGGTTGTTCGTGCTATAGATGTAGATATCGAGCCCTCAAAAGTCGTGCCCTCAAAAGGTGTGCCCGCACCCTCAAAAGGCGTGGCATCAAAAGGCGTGCCCGAGTCATCAAAAGGCGTGCCATGAAAAGGCGTGCCAGGTTGTCGGCGTCAAGAGGCGCGCGATGCGCGTGGCTGCCTCGGCTACAACGGTCCGACATGACCCCATAAACTGTCTTCTCCAACGGTCCGACATGACCCCGTAAACTGTCTTCTACATCGGTCCGACATGACCCCGTAAACTGTCTTCTACACCGGTCTGACACGACCACACCGTGTCTCCTACAACGGTCTGACACGACCATACCGTGTCTCCTATCCTGTTTTATTTTATTTTTCTGTTTTGTTACTCTCTCCAAACTCCAGTTGGCTAGTACCTATCCTCCTTGAGTTTGAGGGGGGCTGTTAATGTAAATGTAAATTTATCTACACCTACCACCACCTACTACCACACCTACTACACCTACCACCAATTTACCCTCACCTACTCCTCACCTACTACCCAAATCCTCTTCTATATAATAGGAATCCTTGTAATATCAATACATCAATCAATAATATACATCAATTTTTCTTACAGATTGGTTTGTGCGAGTTGGATGATTCCCTGCTTGTGCAGTGAACTCCTCTGATGCATTCCTCTTTATTCATGTTTCAAGAGTAAATTTTGCCTTGTACTTCACGTGGGTTCCTGTGTTGCCTACCTAATGAAAATTAATTTGCTCGTAATCGTGTGCCTATTCATCTCTCAACACCTCGCGGTATTGGGTGAACCCCAAATTATCTCCTTTGTTCCATGTTGTCGTCACATTGCTGTGTAGGGAGCGTGGTCGGCAGGTAGTTATACTTGTGAGATACTTGCCTTGCCTTTCCTTGCCTTGTCCATGGGTTGTTGGTGCTTGGCTGATGGAGTTGCCTTGTTGCACGTCCCTTCCTCCTTCCCCGATAATTGTCATTGGGTTGGTTTTGACTTACCTACAGGTTGTCTGGCTTGCCTAGTGGAAGCGCTTTACAAAAAATGTCCCTCGAAAGATGCTTGTTGCCTACGTTATTTACGTTCGCGCTAAACGGTGCCTGCTTGGCTTCTCTAGATGTTTTTACACGTTCATTGGGCTTTTCAGTCCTTCGAGGTGTGATTTGTTTAGGGGGACTGGTGCATAGTGTACGTGATGGCATGTGAGTTGTGATTGGTTAGTGCGAGTTGGATGATTTCCCTGCTTGTGTAGTGAAGTCCTTTGGTGCAATCCTCTTTATTCGTGCTTCAAGAGTAAAGTTTGCCTTGTGCTTTGCGTGGGTTCCTGTGTTGCCTACCTAATGAAAAGAAATTTGCTCTTAATTATGTGCATATTCGTCTCTCACCACCTTGTGGTGCTGGTTGAACCCTAAATTATCTCCTGTGTACCATTTTGTTCTCACATTGCTGTGTAGGAAGCATAGTCGATAGGCAGTCATACTCTGGAGGTACTTGCCTTGCCCATGGGTTGTTGGTGCTTCACTAATGGAGTTGCCTTGTTGCATGTCCCTTCCTCCATCCCTCGATAATTGCCACTAGGTTGACTTTGACTTCTCTATGGGTTGTCTGTACTTGCCTAGTGGAAGTGCTTTGCAAAAAATATGTCCCTTCAAAGATGCTTGTTACCTTCGTTATTTACAATCGCACTAAACGGTGCTTGTTTGGCTTATCTAGATGTTTTTACACTTTCGTTGGGCTTCTTAGTCCTTCGAGGTGTGATTCATTTTGGGGGGTTGGTGCATAGTTTACGTGATGGCGTATGAGTTGTGATTGGTATGTGCGAGTTGGACGGATCCCTGCTTGTGCAGTGAACTCCTCTTATGCATTCCTCTTCATTCGTGCCTCGAGCAAATTTTGCCTTGTGCCTCATGTGGGTTCTTGTCTTACTTACCTATTCAAAAGGAATTTGCTCCTAATCGTGTGCCTATTTGTCTCTCACCACCTTGTGGTGCTGGTTGAACCCCAATGTGTCTCTCGTGTTCCACATTGTCCTCACGTTGCTGTGTAGGGAGCATAGTCTACAGGCAGTTATACTTGAGAGATACTTGCCCTGCCCATAGGTTGTTAGTGCTTGGCTAGTTGCCTTGCTGCACGTCCCTTCCCCTATCCCTCAATAATTGCCACTAGGTTGGATTTGACTTGTCTACGAGTTGTCTATGCTTGCCTAGTGGAAGCGTTTTACGAATAATATGTCCCTCGAAAGATGCTTGTTGCCTTTGTTATTTACACTCACGCTAAACGGTGCTTGCTTGGCTTCTCTAGATGTTTTTACATGTTCGTTGGGCTTCCTAGTCCTTCAAGGTGTGATTCGTTTCCCGGGGGGGAGGGGGGGCTGGTGCATAGTGTACGTGACGGCGTGTGAGTTTTGATTGGTTTGTGCGAGTTGGATGATTCCCTGCTCGTGCAGTTAACTCCTCTAGTGCATTCCTCTTCATTTGTCCTTCAAGAGTAAATTTTGCTTTGTACTTAACGTGGGTTCCTGTGTTGCTTGCCTAATGAAAAGGAATTTGCTCGTAATCGTGTGCCTATTCGTCTCTCAACACCTTGTGGTGCTAGGTGAACCCCAAATTATCTCCCGTGTTCCATTCTGTCCTCTCGTTGTTGTGTACGGAGCGTAGTCGATTGGTAGTTATACTTATGAGATACTTGCCTTGCCTATGGGTTGCTGGTGCTTGGCTGATGGAGTTGCCTTGTCGCACGCCCCTCCCCCCTTCTTCAATAATTGCCAATAGGTTGGCTTTGGCTTGCCAATGGATTGTTCATGCTTGCCTAGTGGAAGTGCTTTGCGAAAAATATATCCCTCGAAAATGCTTGTTGCCTTCGTTATTTACACTCACCCTAAATGGTGCTTGCTTGGCTTCTCTTGCTGTTTTTATACGTTCGTTCGTTGGGCTTCTTAGTCCTACGAGGTGATTCGTTTCGGGGGGCTAGTGCATATTGTACGTCATGTGTGTGAGTTATGATTGGTTTGTGTGAGTTGGATAATCCCCTGCTTGTGCAACAAACTCCTCTGGTGCATTCCTCTTCATTTGTGCTTCAAGAGCAAAATTTTCCTTGTGCCTTGCGTGGGTTCTTGTATTGCCTACCTAATGAAAAGGAATTTGCTCTTAATCGTGTGCCTATTCGTCGTTCTCCACCTCATGGTGCTGGGTGAACACTAGAGTATATACTGTGTTCCATGCTATCCTCATGTTGCGGTGTAGAGAGCGTGGTCCACGGGCAGTTGTACTCAGGAGCTACTTGCCTTGCCCTTGGGTTGTTGGTGCTTGGCTAACGGAGTTGCCTTGCTGCACGTCCCTTCCCCCATCCCTCAATAATTGCCACTAGGTTGACTTTGACTTGCCTATGGGTTGTTCGTGCTTGCTTAGTAGAAGCACTTTGCAAAAAATATGTCCCTCGAAAGATGCTTGTTTCCTTCGTTATTTACACTCGTGCTAAATGGTGTTTGCTTGGCTTCTCTAGATGTTTTTACACATTCATTAGGCTTCTTAGTCCTTCAAGGTGTGATTTGTTTCGGGGGCTTGTGCATAGTGTACGTGATGGTGTTTGAGTTGTGATTGGTTTGTGCGAGTTGGATGATTCCTTGCTTATGTAGCGAACTTTTCTGGTGTATTCCTCTTCATTCGTGCTTTAAGAGTAAATTTTGCCTTGTGCTTCGTTTAGGTTACTGTGTTACCTACCTAATGAAAAGGAATTTGCTCCTAATCGTATGTCTATTCATCTCTCGCCACCTCGTGGTGCTGGGTGAACCCCAAAGTATCTCTCGTGTTCCATGCTATCCTCATGTTGTTGTGTTGGGAGCGTGGTCCATGGGTAGTTATACTCGAGAGATACTTGCCTTTCCCATGGGTTGTTGGTGTTTGGCTAATGTAGTTGCCTTACTGCACGTCCCTTCTCCCATCCCTCGATAATTGCCACTCTTACCTATAGGTTGTCCGTGCTTGGCTAGTGGAAGCGCTTTGCGAAAAATGTCCCTCAAAAGATGCTTGTTGCCTTCGTTATTTGCACTCATGCTAAACATTACTTGCTTGGCTTCTCTAAATGTTTTTACACGTTCGTTGGACTTCTTAGTCTTTCGAGGTGTGATTCATTTAAGGGGGTGGGTGCATAGTGTCCGTGATGGCGTGTTAGTTGTGATTGGATGATTCCCTGCTTGTGCAGCAAATTCCTCTGGTGCATTGCTCTTCATTCGTTCTTCAAGTGTAAATTTTGCCTTGTGCTTCGCATGGGTTTCATTGTTGCCTACCTAATGAAAAGGAATTTGCTTTAATCATGTGCCTATTCATCTCTCGCCACCTCGCGGTGCTGGGTAAATGCCAAAGTATCTCCCGTGTTCCATGTTGTGCTCACGTTTCTGTGTTGGGAGTGTGGTCCATGTGTAGTTATACTTGGAAGATAGTTGCCTTGCCTTGTCCATTGGGTTGTTGGTACTTGGCTAATGGAGTTGCCTTGCTGCACATCCCTTCCCCTCTCCCTCGATAATTGCCACTAGGTTAGCTTTGACTTGCCCACAGGTTGTCCGTGCTTGCCTAGTGGAAGTGCTTTGCAAAAAATATGTCCCTTAAAAGTTTCTTGTTGCTTTTGTTATTTACACTTTTGCTAAACGGTGCTTGTTTGGACTCTCTAGATTTTTTTGCATGTTCGTTGGGCTTCTTAGTTCTTTGAGGTGTGAGTTGTTTCGGGGAAAATGAAGGGGAAAAGGGGAGAGGGGTGGCTAGCCACTTTTAGGAAGAATTGGAGGAAACTTCCCTCCCAAAATTTGAGTGAAGGTTGACCAAATCAGAACCCAAACCCTAATTGGGTAGGTCATGGATATTTGGTCAAAACTTACCCATGGGTGTGGAAATGGCCCAATAAATGTTGCTAAGATAAAACAAGGCCAACTCATGGGTTTAGTACCTAAGGCCCAAATCATGCAAAGGATGATTAATTTTTAAAATGGGCCTATTAAAGCCGAATCAACAACTTGTGAAAATGGCCTCAATTTAATTTTAAATAAATGTAATTAGATACTAAATTAATTAAGTCAAGAACTAGTGCCATTCAATCATAATTAGTGAGATACTTGGGGCAATTAGTGAAAGCCAAATTCTTCAAGGAAAATACTTTACTGGACATTACATTAAAAGCTTTAAGATGAGTTTGTGGTCAACAATTGAACAGTCTTGAAGGCCAAAAATTACCAAATAGTGTTTGATTTCAATATCTACTCTTCGTTGTGTACATAGCAGGATAGATTGGTGTTATTATTACTGATAGAACTAAAGCATGATTTCCCAAGTGAAAGAATGATCCAAGTGTACCTATTAATTGACACAAATGCATGAAATTTGGAAGGAAATTTTTACAAGATGACTATAAGATTATTCATACCATTTGACTTGTCAAAAGAAGATTAATCATGCATTATGGTTCAGAATTTTGAAAAATTAAGAAATACCAATTTCATTAAATGAATATGGTAAAATGTGGATGGAAAAAATTAGAAACAAATGAATTTGTGAAATGTTACAAATAGTAGATATAATAGATAAAAGGGGTCTTTTGGGAAGTGGGTTATAATCCACTTCCCAGATTATAACCCACTTCCCTCTCTCACAAAAAGCTGATTATAATCAGTTTTTAACCAAAAAACTGATTATAACCATCTTCCCAAAATAGCCAAAAGTGTGAGAAATTTTAATAACATGGTCTGGAGTTATATAACACAGACCAATTAAGACACTACGAAGGAAAATTGACATTGTCCACCTTGTCAGTCATGCTTAACTATGAGATAGATGAAATCAATGTGTGAGTCCACTCGGTGTGCACTTTTATGAGGAATTAACCAAGGGCATCTAAAGTGGTGTATTGCTTCCTGGAGAGTCAACTGATGTGACCTGCCCTTTTTTCTTGGAATTATAATTTCCTCTTTACAAATCCTAACTTCTGCATTTATAGGCAGATGTTCACAAAAAGTGCACAGTTGGTGAAGTACCTTAGTTTTATAAGGAAAGATCTATTCACTTGATATTGAACTTCTATGTTCTACACCTCTAGCTGCCTTGACTTCCTAATAAAACATATAAATTAGCTTGGCTGACTGGTTTATGGCATCCATTTTTTTTTTTGAATAAATCTCTATCCGACTCTTATAACCTTGATTATTTAAATTATTTATGCTATTTTCTTGGTAGAAATTTGGGATTACTTATCGTATGTGTTTGGTTATCTCACGTTCTTTTAATTCTGGTGCTACAAAGATTGCTTGTCCTACAGCTGGGGAAGCCCGCAAATGGATGGAGGCTTTTGATCAGGCCAAGCAGCAGGTATGAGAATATTGATACTAGTGCTGTCAATATTGTACTGAAATTTTTTACAGGATATACATATTATCATTGTAAAAAAAAGTATTTATTTCTAGTTATAAAAAGCAATTCTTCCCTCATAAACAATCAATTATTTTGGTGTTCTTGTGGACTTTGTTTTCCAATTGTGAAGATATCATTGTTCTATTGGTACCAGCTATCCACCAAATTAATAGTACAAATTTTAGTATTAAATTTATATTTCAATGTGAAACTTTTTTTATTGGCAGGCTGAATATGAGCTTTCAAGAGATGGTAGCGTGAGAAACAAATTGAACATGGAGACTGAGTATGCTTACTTTTCACAAAACAAATGGTTTTATCAATTGTTAAAATCATTTGTTTTCTTTAATTGATCATGAGTGATTTGATGTATTTTTTGCTCATCCATATTGGCAAGAAATGAGGGGAAGACTAAGCCGTTCACTTTCATGTATTTTTTTTTTTATGTGTGCTGCCTTCAATCAATTATCTACTTATTTTATTTTATTTTATTATTATTTTAAATTTTTTATGGAAGGATTAATCTTGAAGGACATCGACCAAGAGTAAGGCGTTATGCACATGGTTTGAGAAGGCTAATAAGAATTGGTGAAGGTGAGGTGGTATGCTATGGTTTGATGTTATTTATTTATTTATTTATTGATAAATATGGTTTGATGTTATTTTCATGAATTGTGTATGATAATGGCCATTTTTTCAATCATTAAATGTCATTTCAATGTCTTTTGAAGTTGTGTAAATTGAACTAATAGAGCCATTATAAGTAGATATGGTATCTTGTTGTTATATGACAAGTATTGTAAAAAATTGATCATCATCATCATCATCATCATCATCATCATCGTAATTATATGACCGGAAAAAAAAAACCTTATTTGCATGAAGTGGAAGCGGGGGGCATGAGAGTGAGAGGGCACATACTATAGCGACCCTGGTTTTGACCCGTCTCTTGTGGTGTGCCAGAATCGGGTTTGTATGGGTTGAATGGTGGTTCATGTCTTGTTTCTCTTGTTTTCCCCTCATTGTTGGTTATTGGGTTGTAGTTATGTGTTTAGAAAAGGTTGATTGCTTGTTTTTCCAAACTCTTGGTTGCCCAGAATTTCGGCTCTCCGCTCGGGCGGGCATTCTTGCACTCGAGCGGGCATTTTGAAATTTGGCTCTACGCTCGAGCGGGCATTCGGGCGCTTGAGCGGGGACTGTGTCTGCAGAAAATACTGGGAGAGCGTATTTCACGCTCGGGCGCAGGGTTTCACGCTCGAGCGAGAGTCTGTCTCTGACGCTCGAGCGGGGCTTTCCATGCTCGAGCGGACCGCTTTTTATCAGCACGCGAAAGTGACATTTCAGATCACTTTTTGCAATCCTCTCTCTCTCTAAAAGTCTCCAAGATCCAGATCTGGAGCCTCTCTCTCTAGAAATCATCTTCTCTCTTTGATTTCTCCAAATCCATAAGGATTTTGGCCATAGTTCCTTCGTCAAAGTTGTGTAAGTTCTCGAGGGCTTCGTTGTGTACGGTGGAGATCGAGTTTCATCGTCGTTGATTGTGGGGGTTTCAACTCTTTTCTTCTTCAAACTTGAGGTAGGGATTTTCTTTGAGTTATATATATGTTTTTGCAAGATCAAGATGATTTTCGAAATCATCCTTTGATTTGTTTTGAAAATTAGTTGTTGATTCAAGGAAAAGAGTGATTTTCAAAGTGGGTTTACTATTTGGTCCTTTGAGATAGAAAGTGGGGGTTTTAAACTATGTTGATCGAAGAAAGAGGATTTTGGTGAAATTTTTCTCAAATGTTTGAAGATAGATGGTTTTGGTGAGAAAACCCTAGAAATGGGGGATTTTTAAACAAGAAGTTGAAAATCTATGGTTGATATTGTTATAGTTATTTTGAATGCCAAAGTAAGTGATGTTTGGAAAATTTCTTGTTTATCTTGTATAAATGATAAATTTTGAGAAGCATGGGAGTTGTTGTTCATTTTGAAAATTGCTAGTCAAAATGTTGACTTAGTCTTGAAATGACTATGGTGTTGGAAATGTTTGAAATGTGGGAATTATGTTATTTCTTGGATGAATTGAAATAAAAGTATTTATTCATTTTGTGAAATTACATTGAAAGGAGAAATGAAAATTTTGAATCACAATGGTAGTATTGTGTGGAAGAATTGGGAATGGAAGAATTGTTGTAATGTATTGATTATTGTTGCATTGACATATCAATTCTTTTGATTACATTAAACTTTGAAAGTTGATTTGAAAACTTGCATTGAGAAAAGAATGTTGAGAAATGAGTTTTCATGAAATTGTTTTGGGGTAAATACGGTGGTAAGTCTTGACAGGTGGTGTAGATGATAGGTGTCGAGCTTTCTAGTTGTTACTGGTAAAAATGACAGAGTATGGGTATCGAGCCCTCCAGATGATACTGGTAAAAATGACAATTTGGTAGTACTTGTATAATCTACTTGCAGACACTAACCTAGGGATTACCAGAGTTGTATTTATTGCCCCTCGAATAAAATTTGATAACTGTTGTGCAGTTGAAATGGCATGACATCATTGAGCATGTTGGTTTTCAAAAGATGAAGGTGTGTTTTACTTTCAAAAAGGCATGGCATGGCATAAGCATTTCATCTCTTGAAATTTGTATAAAATGTACATACTTTGTGAAGGATTTTCCTACTGGGCTTTGTGCTCACCCTATGGGATTTTTGTGCAGGAAAGGATGTGGTGATTCTGCCTAACTGAAGGCGTAGAAGTGTGTGTAGAGAGCATAATGTGCTCGTTTGCTGTGACTCTGATTTCAAGCCAAGGGCTTTATGTGTGTGGGTTTGAATAACCGTTTTATGCAACCAGGCCCAGGCCTTGGAACTTGTAAACCCTTGGGGGTATTTACTGTTTAGTTAATGGTTGTTGAATCAATTGTATTATCGCATGAAGACTATTTACATCATGTAATGCAAGTATGAGGATTTCATTATCAGTTTTACTTTAAAGAGCCATGACTATTGTATTACTATTTGGGCATGAAAATGGGGGCCTTACACATACTGTCCATTATTTCATACATGACTATAGGTCGAACAGAAAGTCTAAGGTTGGGAGCACCTATGCGAGTGTTTATATATTATATATAAATATATAAATTATTAGATAGCCATGTGTTTTTTATAAGGGTACTATTGTCATATTGTAGTATTATTGTTCTAATATAAATAGGGAGCTGCTAATAGCCCTTATATCTTTTCTTTGGACCCCTCACCTCTCTTTTCAAATTTTTTTATTTCAATTTTACCCTAACATGAAATTTCTGTTTTATCCCCATTCCTAACCTCCCTAACCCTAACCCCACCCACTTCCACCAGCTCTTACCACTTCTTTCTTCCTCGTCTGCCCTCCCCAGCCTCTCTTTGCTACCCTCTGCCTCTCCCCACTGCCTTAGCCCTTACCTGTAGCCCCCTTCTAGCCTCTCTTTGCGGGCAAGGGCTAGGGGGGTCGCGTCCGAGAGAGAGAAGGAATGCATGTGACATGAAATTTCTGTTTTATCCCCATTCCTAACCTCCCTAACCCTAACCCCACCCACTTCCACCAGCTCCTACCACTTCTTTCTTCCTCGTCTGCCCTCCCCAGCCTCCCTTTGCTACCCTCTGCCTCTCCCCACCGCCTTAGCCCTTACCTGTAGCCCCCTTCTAGCCTCTCTTTGCGGGCAAGGGCTAGGGGGGTCGCGTCCGAGAGAAGGAATGCATGTGGTGTTGTTGTGCAGGGAAGGGAGGAGGGGTTGAGGGTAGCGTTGGAGATGGGCTGACGTGGATGCTGGTGGCGCCAATGGTGGTAAGGGTCTAGGGGTTGAGGAGAGGGGTCACTGGTGGGGAAGGGAGGTTGGGAAATGGAAGGGTTGTAGTGGGGGAAGGGGTCGTCGGAGAGCCAGTGTAGGGTAGCCGGAGGTGGGGGGCTGATAGTGGAAGTCTAGAAGGGGTTGCAGAGCAGGGGTGCGGGTCCAAAAGAAGGGATGTAGGGGTGCGGGTCCAAAGAAAAAAGGATGGGAAGTAAGTTTGGTGGCGTTAGAGATCTTTATTTTTATTGGTTTAGGTAAAAGGATATTTTGGTCATTGCCTTTTGTAATGCTAGTAGTATAAATACAAGTTACGGTATACGGTCTCATTATTGAACCCCAGCCTTCTTTTCCATTTCTTTGTTCACATTGTTGTCTTCTTTTTAACTTTAATACATATTAGCAACTCAACTTGGTATTAGAATCCAAATTAATTCTTTGCGCATTCAAACTTGAGGAAAATATTTGGAGACTGTTGATAGGCTATTGCGGGGGCTTATGTCAGTATCAAATTGCTGGAAAATATTTGGAGATTGTTGATAGGCTATTTCTAATTCATCTCTTCAAGCTACAATTTGTGGTGAATTTTCTGAAATTTTTTTAGGCCATTTGGTAAGGTTTTCAATTTTCCGAATGTTTTTTGGTTTTGTTTGCCTAATTTTCAGATTTGGTCTCTGGTTCTGTTTTAGATGAAATCAATGGACTATTTTCCTTCTAAAGGTGCCAATATAGGGTTCTACGGAGGTATTGGAGTGCCTTGCTTCGATTCTTAGCATTATTTGTGTATTTTTGGTCATTTGGGTAGTCGGCTTTGCATCCTTTGTTCCTACAGGTTATGGATCTGATATGGATTCTTATGTCGGCTGCATCTGTCCAATTGCTGCATGTGTGTTTTATTTTATCTATGTACTTTAATATAATGTGATGTGTCACGAACATGTTATGTTTTTCATATTGAAGTATATTTTGTTTTAAGATTGACTTGTGTCAAATATCCATCAATTCTAGTTGAGTTTTTATATTTTTTGTGCCTGTTTTACATAGGTCCGGAGACTCTTTTACGCCAAACCTCAAATTTGAGCATGAATGTTGGATCAGATGGGTGCATGCATGGAGATGTTACAGATGTGATTGGAGCACATCAGTGGCAATGTGTTCGTATGGAGAATGGTATATTTTTTTTCCTTTCATTTATTTTGATAGATAGTTGTTTGGTAATCTATTTTTTGTTTTATATTTTTCTTCATATATTGCATGTTTAGAGAGGAGTTGCATCTTTTTAGGCTTTGGCTTTATAGCCTAGTCCCATGTATGGCGCTGTCAACAATGGCATTCATGTGCACATGCTCTTAATTAATTAATTATTTATTATTATGATTATTATTATTATTATTATTATTTTCTGTGGTGGTGTGGAGTTTGGTGCAATTGTTATAAGTGCGTTAAGGAAAGGGTGGCCGATGTTTTTGTTGCAAGGTCTTGGTTGAACTTAATTCCAAAAACTATCTGTTGATGTGAGGGAGCCCTCACGATTATATGATGCTCATTACTTTTGTACCCAAGCAACATGGGACTTCACTTCACAACCTCCCCCACACGCAACATGGTCACTTGGCAGCACCTGCCATGTGTAGGCCAGGGACACACACCTTACCCATCCCTAGGTACTCCAACTCTGATACTATGTTATGCGGTCTTGGGTAGAACTCAACCCCAAAAGCTAGCTTTTGAGGTTGAGGTGACCTTACACTTACATAATACACATTATTGTCGCACAATCTTAGGTAGAACTCCACCCGAAAAGCTAGCTATTGAGGTGAGGATTCCCTCTATTAAGTTACCAATTGTCCCCAAAGCTTATTTTAGGAAATGGACCCAACAATGGATATCAAGCTATCCAACACCCTCCTTCACGTGCAACCCCGTCTTGTACGTGGAGAGATAAAGAGAGAACCAAACAGAAGGAGAAACAAAACAAACAACTAACAGACAAGAAGAAACCAAATGGGGACCAATACCAAATGCTAACAGAGAGACTTGAACCCAAGATCTCTCTCAACCTCTGATGCCATGTTAAGTTACCAACTGTCCCAAAAGCTTAAGCTGTTAGAAAATGGGTAACAATGTATATCAAGTGATCCAACACTCTCATGCATATATACTATACATTAATTTCATAACTAGACAATGTGGGACTTCGCTTCACACCCTCTCTCATGAGCATCATGCTCATTCGGTAGCACTTGCTATGTGCAGGCTTGGCATACTCACCTTACCCATCCTTGGTACTCTAACCTTTTACCATTTGATAAGAGAAGAATAATCATTTGATTAATCTAATGAAGGCATTACATGCACTAATATAGTATGTTATACAGTCTTGAGTAGAACTCAACCCCAAAAGCTAGTTGTTGAGGTGAGGGTGCACTCACACTTATATAAATGCATATTACTTTTGTTCCTAGACAACATGGGATAGGACTTCGGTTTACAGTTTTGTGTTAGTCAAGTTTGTGTTGTGTTGAGCTCGGATGCTCAACTAAATGGGTCAATCCAAACATGGAACAATTAGTTAATCATGTTAAAATCCTCAGCCTAACTTGACCTGCTTTTAATGTAGAGGACATGATAAAATCCTGGGCAAATTACACTTTGCACCTCTCCACTTTAAATCAAATCTCACTTTGGCCCCTACACGTTAAATTATGGCACTTAACCCCCTGCACGTTTGGTCAAGTGTCACTTTGGCCCTTTTGTTAGCCTCATTGTTAACAGAGGTTAGTCACGTGAAAAACATGCGAGGATAAATTACACTTTGCACCCCTGCAATTTACACAAAATCCCACCTTAGTCCTATACATCAAAATTGTGACACCTAGCTCTCTAAAGGATAACTTTTGTTAACCTCACTATTAACAGAAGGGCCAATGTGACACTTGACCAAAAGTGCAGGGGGTTAAGTGTCACAATTTGATGTAGAGGAACTAAAGTGAGATTTTGTGTAAAGTGCAGGGGTGCAAAGTGTAATTTACCGTAAAATCCTTGTAACCATTACAAGCTTGACCTGTGAACCTAATAGCTAGACCTGTTTAAAATCCATTTACCCAATTTATCCATAATTCTCAATAATAAAGTAAGGAAGGACTAGAAAATTTTGTAAAATACATTGATTTGTAGGCTTATGTAAAATAGACAAGATGCTGCCATAGGATGCACATGGCTTTAGCTAGAGGCACCCCCACTTGGGACCACCTGTGTGGATTAATCCTGGAAATTACCAATTGCGGGTGGATGGGGCTTGCATGTATGGAAGCATTTTCTTAGGGTTTTTTTTTGGCATGCTTTTATGCACTTATTTTTGGTATGGCATTATTTGGAAAATTACCATGTTTTCTTTCTTTTTGATTTCAGGTATTAGGATGTTTGAGGATGTGGCTAATTCTAAGGTACATTATTTGGACTTCATTTTATTTTATGTGTTTATCTTCTTTTGAACAACAATTAAAGAAAATTTTTATTTTAAAGACGGGGAGAAATTTATAGGGGGAGAGAGAGAGGGGTTCGCAAGGAAAAAGACAAAATGAAAGGGAAATCTTGTACGGTACTCACCATTTAGGAGCTGTGTTGCAAGAGATTTTACTAGGTTAACCACTATTCTCTTGACAATTAGCTTAAACTTTCTAAACCTAAGGTCAATCTATATGAGATTTCTATCATTGTACATCATGCCTTTTAAAACATCTGCACACTTTGAGGTTGCATGATTAATGCTATTTATTGTTTTATTCATGAAACAAAATCAAAGGTAAATGTTTATTTATAAGTTTGGCGAGTTGTTCTAAAATTAAGAGCATTAACGTAAGTGAGTTAAAAACTGAATGTATGGAATGCATATTTGAAGGCTATGAGATACCAAAGAGTGAACACAATTTTGCTATCTATACTTGATTTTAGGAGGGCATGAAGAGATTGTTGGTTATGTTACTAACATAATCATAGTGGAAGATGGCTGTTATACCAGCCCCTATTTTGTGGGATATAATGTTAGCTCATTAAAGGAGCATTGTGAAATGTTTATATTAAAAAAGGATCAAGGAACAAAATTTCTTGTTTCCTTCGAAATGGCTAAATGTTTCTGTTCCTAGGAAATTGAGTTATATTTCCATTGAATCATACTGAAATTCTCTAAACAAACCAAGCCAAGTCAAACCAAACTGAGCCTTGTGTCCCAAACAAGTGGGTTCGGCTAAATGAATCATTTTTCGCCAAAGAAAGAAATAACACAAAGGTTTTAACGTGGTTTAGGCAATATTAGCCTACATCCACACACACAAAGCCCTATGGGCTGCATCTTTCATTCACTCAACTTAATACTCTTATTTACATGATACACCATATATATAGAGTAGGAGATACAATAAAATCCCTTCAGATAAGGAATTGAAATAAATCAAAAATACAAAAAATCATAATAAGCACAAATCATGGGATCTCCATATATTCTAATATCTTCCATATTTTCTGATATCTTCCATATTTTCTGATATCTTTCATATTTTCTGATATCTTTGACAATATAATCTTATCTCCAATACTCCCCTTCACGTTGGAACACGGAAGAATTGAAGTGAAGTGAAGTGTCCAATTTGAACTTAAAAATAGGATGATCATCACAAACAACTACAATGAAGTTGCCAAAAGACAACAACAATTGTAATAACTCCCTTCAATGACAATTTCAATGAATATAGGCAAGGAACCAACATCTTGCAATAGATAAATGTGCATTGAATCGATCATGATGGCAGTAAAAGAAACCAACTGAGACAGAGAAAGCAACAAGGCCGAAGCAAAAATCACCACAAACAGAAAGGTCAGAAAAGCAGCATCCCACAAAGAATGCTACTGAACACACCGGTAGTCCAAAGACAAAAAAGAACCAAATATGTGCTTACCATATCAGCATAAGGACCCTAAAAGGGTAGATAAGTAGCCAGAAAACTTGATGTATCACAGAATAATGCTACCGAACACACCGGCAACCCCGAAACAAGTAAAAATCACAAAGTTTGCTCACTACATTAGCAAACTAGTGGTCAACTCAATAAAAAGGGAAAAACACCTTTATAACAAAAATTTAGAGGGAGAGAGCACTCCATAGAAAAACATGCCTAGGGTTCAGTAGAAAAATGCCTAGGTTTCAGTAGGCTTTGATACCAAGTTGAATTTTGTAATAAGGCAATAAGGTTGAATATGGAGAGATAATAGAGACATAAAAAAGAAAAGAAAGAACACAAAGGTTTAACATTGTTCATCCAATATTAGCCTACATCCACACACACAAAGCCCTATGGGCTACATCTTTCATTCACTCAACTTAATACTCTTATTTACATGATACACCATATATATAGAGTGGGAGATATAATCAAATCCCTTCAGATAAGGAATTGAAATAAATCAAAGATAATAACAAGCACGAATCATGGGATCTCCATATATTCTAGTATCTTCCATATCTTCTGATATCTTTGACAACATAATCTTATCTCCAGCATTTAGCTCTATCAAGGGTTATATGCTCAGTTAAATTAAATAACATTGTTTCCACTACCACATCCCATGTTAGGTTAGGTCTTTCCCTCTCCTTAGCATCTCCATTTATATGATCATATCACTCTTCCTTACCGTTGCATCTATAAGTCTTCGTTGTGTATGATCAAACTATCTTAATGTGTTCTCTTTCAACTTATCTTCAATAAGTGCTACTCTTACCATTTCATGGCTATATTTGAAGCTTGAGTAACTAGCTTAGGGTATGATAGAATATCACCCCCTATTTATAAATGAAGATTAGGGTTTACAAGAAATACAATTACAAGATGATCCCTGAGGGCATAAAATGATTACAGACCCTAGTGTAACTTTCAGCTAATATAATATGCTAACACTTTCGGCTAATATAATATGCTAACACTCCCCCTCAAGCTGGTGCGAAGATATCTCTCATGCCCAGCTTGCCTAATATGTCATGAAATGGTTTATTCCCAACCCCCTTGGTGAGAATGTCAGCAAGTTGTTCACCAGACTGGACAAAAGGAGTACAAATGGTACCACTAGTGAGTTTCTCCTTAATGAAGTGGCGATCAATCTCAACATGTTTTGTCCTGTCATGTTGAACTGGATTGTGAGCAATGTTGATGGCGGCCTTATTATCACAGTATAACCGCATGGAGTCCGTCTGAGCAATACCTAGATCATGCAACAATAATTTGATCCATAAAAGTTCACACACACCTTGTGCCATAGCTCTAAACTCAGCTTCTGCGCTTGACCTGGCAACCACATTCTGTTTCTTACTCCTCCAAGTAACTAGGTTGCCGCCAACAAATGTGCAATACCCTGAAGTTGATCTCCTATCAGTTACTGACCCAGCCCAGTCAGCATCTGTATAGGCTTCTATACGAAGATGATCATACTTTGAAAAATACAGACCCTTACCAGGAGCAGACTTCAAATACCTCAAGATTCTCATGACAGCCTCAAGGTGAATCTGATGAGGAGCATGCATAAACTGACTAACTATACTGACAGCAACAGCAATATTATGACGGGAGTGAGATAGGTAAATGAGCTTACCCACTAATCGTTGATAGCTCCCCCTATCCACAACTTCTCCTCCTTCATCATCCCCCAATTTCTGATTGGGTTCCAGTGGGGTGGCACATGCCTTGTAGCCAAGCATCCCGGTTTCCTTCAACAGGTCAAGCACATATTTTCTCTGTGAGATAAATATTCCATCCTTAGAGCGAGCAACTTCAATTCCCAGAAAATACTTCAAGCTTCTCAAGTCTTTGATTTCAAACTCTTTAGCTAAATATTTCTTCAACAGAGGTATTTCCCTACTATCATTGCCTGTAAGTACTATGTCATCTACATAAACAATAAGTGCTGTAGTCTTACCGCGTGAGGAATGTTTCACAAACAATGTGTGATCTGCCTGACTTTGTTTGAAGCCATATTTAAACATAGCCTGAGTGAATCTCTCAAACCAAGCCCTTGGAGACTGTTTGAGACCATATAATGACTTTCGAAGTTTGCATACTTTGCCTTCTGTTTGATGATCCTCAAAACCCGGAGGGATGTCCATATATACTTCTTCTTCGAGGTCACCATGGAGAAAAGCATTCTTGACATCAAACTGATAAAGCGGCCAATCTAGATTAGCTGCTAGAGAGAGAAGTATTCTGACTGAATTCATTTTAGCCACGGGTGCGAAGGTCTCCTGATAATCAATGCCATATGTCTGAGTAAACCCTTTTGCCACAAGTCTTGCCTTGTAACGCTCAATAGACCCATCTGCTTTGTGTTTCACAGTATATACCCATTTACATCCCACAGGTCGTTTGCCCGTAGGTAACTTAGTCAATTCCCAAGTGCCATTGTTCCTAAGTGCTTTCATTTCCTCAATCATGGCGAGTTTCCACTCAGAGGTAGCAAGAGCATCCTAAAAATGGTTAGGAATGCTAATAGAGGAAATATTGGACACAAACGCTCTATATGAGGATGACGAATGAGAGTATGATACAAACTGTGAGATAGGATGTTGAGTACAAGATCTCACACCCTTCCTCTTGGCAATAGGAACATCAAGATCCATGGACTCAAGAGATTCAAAGTTATCTAGACTCTCATCAGAAGCAGGAGATGGCAGTGGAGTAGCAGAAACGGTCCCGTGTATCCAGTTAACTTGTTTTCTGTCTATGTCCCGGACATAAACATGCCCGTCCGTATTCTTGGTGACAGTGGGTTCTATAGTCCCAGTAGAAGAGGGGGGTTCAAGAACAACTGGTTCCACCATAGGAAGCACAGTAGTAGAGGGTGGTGCAAGAACAACTGGTTCCACCATAGGAAGCACAGTAGTAGAGGGTGGTGCAAGAACAACTGGTTCCACCATAGGAAGCACAGTAGTAGAGGGTGGTGCAAGAACAACTGGTTCCACCATAGGAAGCACAGTAGTAGAGGGTGGTGCAAGAACAACTGGTTCCACCATAGGAGGCACAGGACTCACTTCACACCAAGGCTCCCCCGGAAATGAGGACGGTGACACCGAAGAGGACAAGAAATAGGACTGGGATTCAAAGAAAGTGACATCCATGGACACAAACCACTTACGAGAAGAAGGGTGGTAACATTTATACCCCTTTTGAGTAGGAGAATAACCAAGGAAAACACACTTGAGGGAGCGAGGGTCCAACTTACCACGAGAGGGAGAGTGATTATGGACAAAACAGACACAACCAAATATTTTGGGAGGAATAGAAAACAAGGACAGAGAACCGAGGAGGACGTGAAGCGGAGCCTGTTTGGCCAAGACCTGGGTAGGGAGACGATTAATAAGATGAGCAGCGGTGAGAACAGCGTCGCCCCAATAGGGTCGAGGCAC